CCCACATTGAACGACCACATCTAAATCGTTATCGTTGACTGCTAACACTTGATTCATTCGCGACGTGTTAACCACAACACCCTTACGAGTGGAGTGAAAGTTACCTTCAATACTGCTACCTCCCGAAAATGGAACCACCGGTATACGCTCTCTATTGCATATTTTTAGCACTTGTGACACTTCCTCTGTCGATTTGGGATAAATGATGTACTGTGGCACCTCGCCCTCCAATGGTTTATGGGTGGTGAAGTCATTACTGGTATGATGATCAATTTCTGGTTTACTGCTAACCACTAGGATACCAAGACTGGCAATTTGAGGAATAACTGATGAAATATCGTTACAATATTTTGGAGGATCAAGTGATTTCAATTTTGTGGTCGACGACTTGGGAAACAAATTTAATGGTGGGTGAGTCAACACTTCATGCTGGCCATACTTGTAAGCTGCATATGATGCCAATGCTGTACATGTAAATCCCGAAACTATCACCTTCAACGGTAGTTTCCTCCACGACATTATAGAATACAACAAAGAAGGAAAGCTTTTATTTAAAGCAAACTGTCATCTTTTGTTTTTCCTTTTGTTCATGTTGTGAAAAATTGGGTCCAAATTCCGGAAGCGGTTGCGCGTCATTTGCCCCAAAATAAAGTAAGAACCGAAATTTGAAGTACATCACGTGAATGAGATTGTTTTATAGTTCAACAACTATTGGCCTGAACACAAGAGGCGGCCAGCAGTAAAGAATAAACACACGGACTCTATGAAAGTCCTATATAGAACTCTAGATTAAAAGGTTTATATCGATATACAATGTCTCTATTATGAGTCTATAACACTTGATCAAATAATAAATACTCTCAATTCAGTAATCACCGTTATCAGTGGGATCGATTTTGAAAATTTTATCCGGATTCATGATCCGGTTTGGATCCAACGACAACTTAATCTTTCTCATCATATCAATTGTATCCTCGCCCAATTCCAACTGGAGAAATCTTCGCTTAGCATTCCCAATTCCATGTTCGCCCGTGGCAGTTCCATCATTATCGATTCCCAATTGAATCATCTTATTAACAATTGCTTCGACTTCAGATCTTTGTTCTTTTCGGTAGAAAATATCTGCGTGGAAATTTCCATCACCTGCATGAGCTAAAATAATTGATTCAAATGGTGAATTCTTAATCCAGCCATTGATTTTATCTAGTACATGAGATAAACGCGACAATGGAACTGCAATATCTGTAACCCATATCCTAACATCTTCATCAATTTCGTTACGACCCCAATTGATCATGGCATAAAATGCATTTTTCCTTGCCGAGAATAACTCTTCCTGTTCTTCTTTGTTTCTAGCAAATTTGAAGTTGGCAGCTTCATTAGCCTCGGTAATGGACTTTAGTATCTTGACATTTTCATTGACAACAACATCATTTATCCCGCCAAGTTTGAAAAATATCGTGGGTGCTTCCAACATCGGTTCACTTGTGAATTCGCCATAGTTTAAACAATGCATCATATCCGCGTCTAATAGCTCGATTGCTGAAGGCTGTATTCCCAGGCGAAACACTTGTGCAACAGTATTTGTAGCATGCGATATCAGGGGAAATTGT